TTTTTCAGTGCCAAATGATGAAACATGGAAACTTACACAAAACTTTAATAAATTGTCTTTTAATATTTTTTTCTGTTTTGGAAAAAATTAAAGGGGCAGGGGTGTTTTACTGCAAGCCCAAGTAAATAATAATATCAGTCTGTGAAATGCTAGATGTAGCTGTTTAGCTGCAGTGGGCAGTCTGAGCAGATCTAACCTGAGTAGCACAGAATCAGCTGTTTGCGACCCCACTGGGTTTTGTTTCATCGGCAAGGATCACAGTTTGTGCTTTGTTTTCTGTGGACTCTGAGACACAGTCTCACAGTCTCGTCTCTTACTCTGAGCTTATCAGACACTTCCTGCTGGGGTTATGAGGTCGCAGCGCTGCAGGGAGGGGATGCAGGGAACCCCCCCCTCCCCTAGCTCCCACCTCCCATGTCCTGTTTGGAAAAGGTTTCCATTTTAACTGAAATGAACTCGTTTTCTGTGAATATTTATTGTATTTTTATTATTTTATTTTTATTTATTGCTTCGAGGAAGCAATTAATTATGAGGACTCTGTAGTCAAAGCACCGGTTTGTAAGAACTGGTATTCTAGTTTTAGTATTTCTTTCATTTTAAACATGTAAAAAGAAATGGCTCATTTTCAAAAAATAGTGGAACAAATACATGATGGGGCCAAAATCTCAGTGACGTCAGGATTCCTGGTTGTGTTGGGAAATCTGTCGGTCTTTGCAAAACTATTATGGCCTCTTATCAATACTGTAACCACAAGCGCGGCTGTTCCAATTTCCTCCCAATACTGACTGGCAGCACGTACGCACACACACACATATGTACACATACACGTGTACGTGCGACTCGGTGTGTAGGCATGCAACCACAACAAGCACATCTGGACACGAGAAATATTAGTAAATAACCACCACACACACACCTACATTGGTGCGCACACACATAGAGGAAGTATGTGTAATTGTGTCAGCATAACTGATTTTCAACGCGCCAGCTTTTATTTCGAAGATTATATCAGCCACTGTACTCGTTCAGCATTACTTGTTTTTATATTATGTTATTATATTTCCAAAACAAGCCATAGGAAATGATCATCTTATTACATCAGATTGTGCTAAACTAAAAGAACAGTCTAGTACATTTTTATTTCCTGTTATCTCTGTTAACACTACAATTTTATTCCTGATATTTTAGTATTTTTACTATTCATCAGTTCCTTCCATTATACTCCAGTTTCAGAACTTCACTTCTTTTCTTTTCTCTCTTGATTCATGTGTTGATGGTTTGATTTGTAAAACTTTGGAAAAACGTGAGCAGCAGTTGTGACAGCTCACAAGTTTACAAAGCCTCAGTTAAATTCTACTGATGAGAACCACAAATATGAATAATTACAATATCAGTGGTAACAAAAATAAAAAGTAACCAAGTAATAACTAATCAATTCTGTTTATATGTGCTGTTTTCCATTATGTTTCGTAAATAAATCTGTGAAGCAAAAACTTTATTTATCTGTGTAATGTAGTCAAATATGAGACACATGAGGAAAAAAATAGCAGTTAATGTTAGCACTTTCTATGATGTCCGAGCTCGTGGTGAAGTGCATTTAAAGCAGCAGGGTTTTGTGGTAGTAGTGACACAGGAGTGCTCTAATTATTTCTGCTTGTGCGTGTCTGTTTAGGCTATGGTGGCGTGTTACCCAGGAAATGGGGCGGGTTATGTCAAGCACGTGGACAATCCCAACTGTGATGGACGCTGCATCACCTGCATCTACTACCTCAACAAGAACTGGAATGCCAAGGTGCTTATTACACTTTGTTCATTTATTCATTTATCGAACCCTCTTTTCAGTTTTTCGTGTTTGATCACCATCTCGAATCTTCTTTATGATTTCAAGTCTGATTGTGAGCTGAGTGAATAGTGAAGTTTCTGACTTTGATCTCTGATGATATCAGTATGAAATGTTTTTTTGCTTCCTTTGACTTGATAAAATCAGAGGAAGTGATCGCGACTGATTAGAATTAAGATGTGAATATTTGCACATTATTGGTTTCTGTCTGGGGACAGGAGTGAATAGAAATGAGAGAAAAAGAACTTTCACTAAATTGTCTTTCCTGCTGTTGTTTATCAGGAGCATGGCGGCATCCTCAGGATCTTTCCAGAAGGGAAGTCGTACGTGGCAGACATCAAGCCACTTTTTGATAGGCTGCTCTTCTTTTGGTCAGACCGCAGGAACCCACATGAAGTGCAGCCTTCCTATACCACCAGGTAACTCGCCAACCAACCCATCAGTACCCCAATTCATGAGGCAGCTTCTCCTGTAACTACTACAGACATGATGACTTGGACCATCTGCCTTTGTTGGCATTTGTTAGATGTGTTGTAATTTTCCTTAAAACATGGCAAATTAATTAGCAAAA